CGGCTTACCAGCTGATGGTCACTGTTGAATGAGACCACGCCCATGTACCACGGCACAATGCGCAGCTAATTGAGCCACGCAGTCAACGGACGGCACCAGAAGAACCAGTCATGCTCTCCCAAAAGTTGTTTTGGGTGATAGGAAGGTCGAGGCCTAAATCACAGTATGGCCACCCTTCATAGCGTCCCCCTCTCCAAATGACGCTGCAAGTATACCTTACTCTATGCAGATGAGTAGGCACAAATTCGCAATCAGCACATTCTGAATAGCTTCGCATGCTTTGTCCATCACTTCAGACCTAATGGATAGGCTAAAGAATGCCAAAAACCGATCAGAAATACCAGAAGCACATAGGAGCTAGTGAGCAAGCAGCTGCGAATAATGAAGCTCTCGGTTCTTGTCAGCTACCCCCAGAGTGAGCATAAACATCTTTCAGTTTCCCCAAAGCCACCTGAAACATTACGTATTCATACCATATCGTCCTCATTTCGTACAAATGCACTAACCTCGTAGGCAGACCTAAGTGGCGCAACATCCTTCTCTGATATTCGCATACGCTTTACCTTCTCCAAATGTGCCGCGTCCTTCATCATAGACTTGAAGTGCCGTGCCTGCAAAGATATTTGGTCAACCTTGAGTCCCGAGAATCCTAGCCAAATCGGTACCTCTTGTTCTTCGACGAGCGTCCAAGCATCCCCGGCGCGCCCTGCGCGTGCGGTACGTCCGACACGATGAACATACTTTCGCATATCGATTGGTGCGTCGTAGCTCACGACATGAGATACATGGCTGATATCGATGCCACGAGAGATGAGATCAGAACAGATCAGGCTATAAACCGTTCATGGGCGAACGTCAGTGCACAGCTGCGACGTATCGGGGGTGTACCCACATATGAATCTCCTGGTTTTTGAACTTGTCTAGGATCAGCTTGCGCTCACCAGGGCTGAGGTCGCTCGAGTATGCCTTAGTCACGATCGACTTCGGTATGCTGCCACTGGGATCAGGTCCACCGGAGTACGCTCCCTCGAAGAACTCAAACAAGCGCATAAGTCGCGTTGTTGACTCTGCTGATTTGGTGAATACAAGAGCATTCGTAACCCCATGACCATGAACGAGCTGAAACAGCATCAGGGGTTTGGAAGCAGAATCGCACACTATCATATGTTCCTGCAGCATTTAGAATTCAGTGATCTGCCCCCGTACTGATTCCCATTTGGTAGATCTGTAAGACTTACCGACAGAGAGGAAGGCATGGTGAATTTTTCCATTACCAGGCTCATAAGATCTGCTTCCTCCGTATCTGCCGCCGTTCCATCAGCACGACCTCGTACTACAAAGTATTTTGGATCATGCAGGTTTAATGCAACTATCTTAGAGGGGTCTCGAGTTAGCGTTGCGGAGAATAAAAGTTTCTGACAAGATGATTCTCTCTTCTCATCGATGTCCGTCCGAACGCGAGGAACGTCATGAAGCAGGTGGAGATAATTGGGAGCGAGTGCATCAGCACGAGGGATCGTACGCCTGGCCATGGAATTGTCCGCAAGCGTTCGGGATTCGGTAAGATCTTCTGGGTTCGCAGGAGGTCGTGTTGCAGCCAGAACTTGAGCCAACCAATCTTGGAACGATTGAGCCAGTAATCGATCGGCTTCGTCAATGACCTGTATACAGCAAGTGAGCAGCATTGACGATGAGTCGATTGGATCACGTACAAGGAATCGCAGATGCTGGAGCGAAAAATTAGGTGATCCATTAAGATGGTCAATTAGTCGGCCCGGCGTGCAAATTAATATATCTACTTTGCTAGAACCGCCCTGTATTCTGTTGGACATACCATTAACTGAGAACCTGTCCGAGTTTCGAATAAGGAGACGGACTGGCTAGATCTATCTGCAACCAATTGCGCCTGTTCATGGGTGAACGAATGCTGACCAGTGGCAGTCCCAATCTGGGAGAAGAGAAGGGGGACATTAACGAACAAAGAGAAAGCGATCTCGCCCCTTCCTCACCTTCAATCCACGACCCCTGCCGATTGCCTCGAATGTTTCTCGTACTTGAGTTACTAGATCACGAGTAGGTAGCACCACAAGTGCTCGGAGGCGAACGACGATCCGCGTAGACAAGATCTAGGGATGCGTGTTCAGCGCTTTGGTCCAAAATGAAGCAAAATGGCTTGTCCGTACCTCAACAATAGGTAGAACATACGCTAATGTTTTTCCGCTCCCTGTTGGTGCAGAAACACAAAGGTCCCTCGGTGGATTATACGGAAGATAAAGAGACTTTAAGCTTTTGGGGGTGAGGAGGAATGGGACAACAGCCGTCTGAACTAGATGAATTCATGATCCAAAGTGCATATATTAGTATATCATCTCGAGGGATGAGGACGCGGCGACAAACCAGCAAAAAGCTCCGAGATACCCAGCTCCAGTAGCCGTTTTTTGGTCTTTTCACTCAAGCCATGTGAGTCGCCGGAAGAGGGAAAGGACTGTAATAAGGCAGAGTCAATGATTTCCGCCTCTACCAAAGCCTTATCGAGCCCTTGGAGAGCAAGCGTAGATCGCGACGGCGCATCTGGACGAGTAGGCAATGGGAATGATGGAAGTGTTGCTGGATGCACAGCTGATACCGTCTCTGCCTCAACCGGAATAGCAGGCGGCTCAGACCCTACTTCATCCCCACCATCTTCTGATATAACCTCTGGTATTTCGTCAGCGTGAGGAGCGGGTGCTGTATGCGCCACATCTTCATCGTCTACTGGCGTACTTAACTTCCGCCGTTTTCGTGGTCTGCGCTCCCTTTGCGCTCGGGTTGATATGGTCTCAGCTACATCCCGCTCTTCTCCGCTCCCTGCAGATTGAGGTTCCTCCGATTCCTCAACATCTTCCTCCACCAATCTGGACTGGTTTTGCTTTGCATGCGGGCCATCAGAAATTTCTACTGTTGTCTTGCGCTTCTTCCGTCTCTCCTTTTTCGCCTTCAGATATCTCTTCTTCGCTTTGGTCTTTTCCTACTGCTAAAATGAGGTATGATACATAATTGATGAATGATCTGAGTTTACCTTGGGTTGAGTGGTCGAGAGACGGATATCACTAGCCCCGTTCGACATACCCGATCCGTTTTGAGGTCGACCGCAAGAATTTGTTGGACTGAGCTGAACAAAGATCCGACGATGCTGCGAATCCAAAACCCTGCAGAAACGTAGACGACTCGAGGCTATTTACCAACAGTAACAGCGAAGCAGACGTACGAAGGTCTTCAAACCCCAATCTCAATATTCGCAGATTGAGCCTGTTGCCACGCGATCCAGCGCCTATAACCCAACTTGGTCCTACTAGTACGCCTCCGCTCGATCTCAAGCTCGATCCTAGTAACTCGATATTGACCATTATGCCACCGTACTACTTGAGGTTTCCATTGCGCTTGAACCCTAACTCATACCTTTTATTGTCTAAACTTATTTGCTTCGCCGTTTCTAAGCGTCTGATCCCTCGACTTCAAGTACATTCCGAATGAACTACTCGCCTCCTGAACTATCATCGAGCTAGAGTGGAGTCTCTCCTCGTAATGAGCTGACTGTTTGGTGTAAGAGTAGGCACTCTGCTAAGTGGTACTGGTCGCTTTCTGTATCGTCAGCACTCGTATTTGCGATCAATCAATACGTTGTATGGGACAATTATCGTTTGCATGGTTCAGGTCGGTAAAGTAATCAAAAGTCAATGATGGCACCTTTATCGTCATTGTTTTGGACAGTGCAGGAGCCATATAGTGTGCGCATCTCGTAATTGCTTAGTCTATGGAATGCTGACTGACACCACAATTGTCGCAGGATGCAAATATCATGCTGTGATAGTCGTACTTATCTCCGTGGTTCGTGATCTTACTCTGATGAAGGTCGTGCTCATGCATGCACGTGTCCTAGATTTAGTTTGTTTTCCTGCTAACTTAAAATGTACCGAATCGGCGAACATTTGGGACAATTGTGCCTTGATCATGCATCGTGTCACGTCTCCTTCTGATTATGTGTTTCCGTTTTCTCGCAGTACTGTGTTGTTTATGAGGTTGATTGACCTGACGCCGTTCGTCCCTCTGAACAGCAGAATAATCGCTCAACCACATGATACCATTGTTAACTCCGCTCGCTGCTACTTCGAGTGGAATGCCGCCGCTGTTGGATAGGTGTGACAACGGTTGATATCTAATCTGTTCTTGTCGACTCTACTTCTGTCCACTTGAGGCAACACCGACAGGCAATGATCAACGAGGGGTCTGAGATTGGTAAAGACACGATACCAGTGTACGTACGGAAGCCTCCGATTTTGTGTCCCCTGACCACCAAGTCAATTCAATTTCGGTCCTTATCGTCGTGCAATCTCCGGATGGCTGAAGTTGGGGCCGTGCGTTTTCGCTTGTTCACTAATTGCCGTGATTGTAAAGAACTTTCTCTCTAACAACCATGTTTGTCGCGTTGATCCATCCGCTGGTGCCGTCTCGTGATGTCGTGTGTATCGTTGATGCTCGTGCATATAGTATCGCCTTGGGAGGTCTCTCACCTGTCTTCTTCCAATCAGCCCGCCCATTCCATACATAAGGTAGGGACAGGGCTGGGCATGAATCTCATTCGTGCCCATCTGCTTCACTGACACTTGAAATAGTGCGCGAGTATGTGTTCCCAAGAATGGTATGTTAAATACTCATGTATCTCTTTCTTACATTGATAATTGATCTGATTGGCGACTAGCTTCGGAAACCAACATAGAGGCTGTGGGGTAAGCTTAGATTATGATCTACTAACCTGCAGATGGCTAACGAGCTGCAGCACTACGTCGTGATGTACTATTCGGGGATACGTTTCGATTGTGGAAGGCCGACGTGTGGGCTCAGCTCGGCGCATTCGCACACGGCGAAAAACTGTGGTTGTCCTAGGGTGAGTTCTTGTCCTATATCGAATACCTATAATATTGATGCATGTGGCCTCAGATATACAGTGATCACAGAAGAGTGCTCAATCTCATCCAGGAACCTTGTGATACTTGTAAAGAGACTGCCTTTGCGGCGATGACGCGTGGCCGGCGGTGATATGTGGGCTTCTGGCGAGAACGCCGCTCTCTGCTGCAACTCTTAGACTCCCTTATTACCCATTTCGCATGCATTTCTGTTCCAAATCACCGCATTTTGATTGCATATGGCAATAACTTTTGTCTCACCATAGAGAATAGATGTCGTGACTTCGGAACTAGCGAATCATTATCTCTTCCCCCGAGTGTTGGCGGCCGCTCCTTGACTGATGCCGAGCACTACGGCAGACAAAGCTGACATAGTGATCACCAAGACAAATGTTCATTGCAGACCGGTGGATTATCACACTTGCTCAGAACTTGACAAAAGTCCAGCTCGCCATACCTCAGTGCCACATCCATATGATTTGATGACATAAACGACAGCGATGACACGCGAGACAGCTCACAAGATCAATCACAGCCGAAGGCATATCGACATCCGCAAAAACATTTGCTCAGAAACGTCTGCCGCCTCGCCTTAGCGGCTGTTTTGCGCCTCGATTTGCGCTCGACTTGATTTGGGCTACTCGTTTTTTGCGTTCTGCCTCGCTGTCATCGTCTGACGACGACGGCACCACAGCACGTTTTGCTTTCTTCGTGGGAGGAGAGCTCGGCGGTGAAGAGTCATTCGCCACCGGACCGTGATTTGCGGTTTGTTCGGGGGTTATTGCCCTGGAGGTTGTGGCCTGACGGGACGTTTTAGAACCAACACGTGTTGGGGGTCTTGATGGAGAGGATGTTCTACCCCTTGGAAGCGCTCGGCGCGGGGTTGCTTCTTTCTGCTTGCCTTTGCTGAGCGACGCAGGAATCTCGTCGTCTTCAGATTCCGTGACCGAATCGTCGGCCACATGACTGGGACCAGCTTCGACCTCTGGAATTATTAATGGCGATGTCGATTTTTCAGGGCTAATAGAGGTGGGACTTCTCGTGCGGGCCGAGAACTTCACATCAGTAGATATTAGATGGGATCACGGCGCTCAGACGATATTCCGTGGGTACTGACCGGCATCGGTGGCGACAGTGGGCGAGACGGCACAGAACCATCACGATACTTTGAAGACGGTGCTCGTGACCTTGGCTGTATTGAAGGGAGTGATAAGTCCGGCTGGTCTACATCCAATGATATTGCGGCTTCATTGGACAAAAAGGTCAGAAACGGCAGGGTCACGTTCGAGGCGGCACTGACGAAGTTCGGGTAGGAAGTTGAACATAGCCGTCATCCTTCGCACCGCAGTAGCCACACGTGGCCTTGACATAGCATGCTTGAGATGAGTATCCACTGTCCGACGACCGGTCCTGCCAAGCTTGTCTACAGCCTAGAATCATAGAAATAGAATCAGCAGTGCTGATAGCGGCCCAAAACTCAATGAAAAGCTATGCTACCTGCTCTAGGTCATCCTGAGACAATTCGCCCACTGGATCAGCGGATGAGAAAGCCAGATGAGTAACGCTGATCAGAGGCATGACAAGATGTTTGGATATTATTTCGGCAGATATTTTGGGTCCGACATGACACGTTTCCCATCTCCACTTGAAGGTCTCGCTTCCCAATTCAAAGGCGAAATCCTGTAGTACGTGTCGAGTGAGTAATAGAAGTTTACATTTGAAACATAATCCGCACGGAGTATTGAGACTCTACGACTTCGAAGGATAAGTCCATGATGCCTCCGAGTGTATGCACAGATGAGAGGAGTTTGACAACGCTGGTTCGCCACTCCTCTTCTGCTGTGGGCCCTTCAAGACATTCTGGATTGTGGTCACGCCATCGCCGAGCAATCCTGTTGCTCGTCAAGACTAATAAAGCCGTATACAAACCGATCTACCACAGTGGAAGACATGTGCGCTGACCTTCCGCCCAAACATTCTTCGTGTCCGTGATCAGAATATGGCAACAGAGGTCCACAGTGGAGGAGTAGAATTTCTGATGGCATGTCAGGTGCGAACGAGGTGCACGTATCAGATTGAACGGCTGACCAGGAAGAAAGGGGTAGATTTGTCGGTGTCTATCTTCACTAGCCATTCTCTGCTTAAAAGTAGCTTGTAATGTTCCTGTGAAACGTATTAAAATGCCGGAACGAAGGTGTTTCTCATCGCGCCACGGCGGTATGCTCACCTCTGTCATATAATCCATTGTATCTGTAGTCGAATACGCAACGAATATGCAACGCCAGATATCTATACTTAAGGATTTAGCCTGAACTGCTCCTCTACGTCCTCCAACCTTTTTACGTACTCTGTACGTTCAAGATGTCTCCACGATGGGATCTCGCCAGTCTCCTTTATTGGGATCTTGCTGACAAATCAAGCTTCTCTCGTGATTGGTGGCAGATGACCGTCACTTTCATCTCACTGCAGTCCTGCACCAGCTCATTCCTGTTTATGCTTCAAAGACTTGGGTACTAACGACAATGGAAGACGGAGAGATTAACGACAACGATACCCACCACCCTGGAAACGCCTTAACACCTGATACCTTGATCGAGTCGAACGTCGGATATTCCTACTCACCTGCTCTGGAATGGCCTGGAGAAGGTATTGAGCCGTCCGTATACTCTTCTGGTGATTTTCATTCTAGCTGGTATGCTCCCGACGACTATGACGCATCGTCTTCCCCGGGGGCAAGTCCGCATACCCATTCCACGACCTTTCTGCGCCTTCTTGTCGAACGAAGCTCCATCCTTCCACGCAAGCAAACCCTCGCAGTAATAGATGGCTTCAATGACGTCCAAGTTGGACGTGACATGGCCCCTCCAGGGAGCGTTACGCCACGGATCCGTCTGAAGGAGATGGAGGTGTCAAAGTTTCACGCGACGGTCTACTGGGACCAGGAACGACGTGAGTGGGCTGTTGTTGATATGGGCTCAAAGCACGGTACCTTCCTCAAGTCCCATCGCAGACTGGCCCCTTCTGCCGGAGCGATGAGTTCCAGTACGGTTACCGCGCTTCCTACATCGGGTCCGAGCAATGACCGGGGAGTGAGGCTGTCTCCGCCGCGAATCGCGAGCATTCCGCGCCGTATCCAGCACCTTGACCGCCTGAGTGTAGGGGGAACGACGTTCATCGCTCATATTCATGAAGATAGCATTCCCTGCGCAGATTGTTCGCCACAAGGTGGTGATGAAATACCTCTCCTGAACACGCCGAAGGCAGACCAAAATAGCGATGCGAGTAGGAAACGGAAACGTGAGGCTGACGCACTCTCGTATGGAACTACATCTTTGCCGCCCGCCGAAAGAGATTCCAAGAAGGCTCTCTCGATGCTCAAACGTACTTTGTTATCGCGTCACGATGCTTCTGCCACGAAAGTGGACGCGTCTCGTTATACAGACAGAAGTGCGCGGCGACGGGCTCTGCATCCTGACGCTCCTCCAGAGATTCCCCACACTGACAGCCGCCATCCACCCGGCCCATCTGCAGTCTCCTCTGCACCAGCCACGTCTCTTGCTACGCGACCAGTCTCTGCACCACCTGCGCCCCTTCCAGAGACCAACATTGGGCATCGCCTCTTGATGAAGCAAGGCTGGCAGCCTGGCACTGGGCTCGGTCAAGTGGGAAGCAGCGACATAGTCTTGGTTGACCCCTTAAGTGCAAGCGGGAACACTGGTCGAGCTGGTCTCGGGATGTCTGGGACAAATACAGAGTATAGCTCAGAACATACTCCTCTGGACTGGAAGGAGGGCGGAAAGTTGCGGCGCTGGGCCGACTTCAAACCGACGTGAACCACGGTGAGACTGAATGGTTGGGTTCGGTAGGAACTTACGCATCGTTCCTTCTGACCAGGCCAGCTGATCTCTGTCACGTAGGCTATACTTGTTGCTTTCGCCCTTGGCAACATGTGGGCTGCAGCCCGTCTAATGCATCTTGATGACACTGGCCGTGCCAACGCAGTCCGCTGGGAAGTTCCGTACGATGATGGATTATTGCTACGTGGCATCGCATCGTTTATAATGTACTGAAGAGTACTCGCTCTTTGGCCGATGGTGCGCCGTTTCATGAAGACACGATCATGTCCGCCTTCTTCCACGCATGTGGGAGTGCATCGGCATACTTGCTATTGGCAATGTCCCGAACATGCCCATAGAACATTCCGGGGGGGGGGG